TGCTCTTGGCATTCTCATGATGACAATAAACAATAACACGCGGAAACGCCGATGGTCGTTGGTCGCGCATATCAGCTAGGAAACGGAGTGCTCCAGGATGCACTCCATTCCCTATCTCGTGAGAGCGACCAATCGCGCTGGCTGTATAGGAAACGTGAATATGCCTCCCGCTAGTTCAATGTTTGCTAGGTTGTCTCCATATAACGCTTTCAGGGTAGGCCAATGTGATATTTGAACTCTATTTGTGACATATCGGAATTCTATAGTTTTTCACATTGTTTAAGTGTTTTTTTCTGTTCTAGAGATGATGCAACATGTCATTATCAGATTTTGATCATATGTATCCGTGACGAGAATGACAATGGACCTGTTTAAAAAGTTTATTTCATTATTTCGAAGTACTAACCCTAACTATTTAGATCACAATCGCGAGCTCTTTACATTTTTAAAATATTTATTGAAATTCACGATATTTCGTAACATGAAAAACGTGGGAAAACGCGTGACCTAATCATCCGAAAACATTTGGAATACGTATCAATCCTCCTTGTCTGTTAGACAAGTGCAAAAATATTTCTGATTGTCATTTCGATCAAGATATGAAAAAAGTTCGACTTTTCAGAAGGTGCTCGCCCTAGACTCTAGTGAATTTTCTGGACTGACTACCTATACTGTGCACATAATAGAGAACAAAACACACAACTGGAGAATCAGATAAAGAGAGGAATATCTTTGAATAGTTGCATCTTGACATTCTTGACTAGATGAAACAAGGATTTGAAGATGAATGGGACGTAAGGAAGTTGGGTTGACAATGTCGTTCATCTTCTTTTCTAGTATTTCTGGGAATTCTAGGCATTATACGCTCCCAATCAACACAGATTGATCCTAGAGATATATTAGATGGCATCACATGCATGCCACACATTACACCCCCGTCTCGAAAGAAATCACAATGACTGCTATTCCGGACCCATTTGGTCATTCTATATGATTCACATTATGATGCCAAATAAAACTCACAGTACGTAATATTATGCGACTCCTACATCAAAGTTGATCGATTCGGTTTGTGACATAAATAGACAACAATATGAGGTTGCTGTGAGTCTTTAAATTATAAGGGAGTCTCACAAATTCACCTGCAATTTGAGTATCAAATCCAATGAAATGTGACGAATATTACGGATGTATCATAAAATAAAGAAGCCCCTGGCAATACCAATGATGTTTTCTTGTAATTCGCATTGTTACCTAGCAAGACATGAATGTGAGATGCCAGGGATGTTTGTGTTCACTGGGAGCTGTTGCCATTGCGACAAAATAATTTGGGTTCGAATGAAATCTCGATTGTCATTAGGATTACTAGGATATTTTTATTGGCACTGAAGCTGAATCATCTTGCAAGTCAATAAGTGATTATTAGCGACCAGGTCGAAACTATTGTCTTCTGTGAATGTGAAAGTGAATCAATACTGTTGTCATTGGTCATATTGAATCTTATGAGGTAATGACTAGTTACAAATCTGGAAGCGTCGACATATGTGGTCCTACTTTTTATGCGAAAGCCAGAATTCAGATGACTTTCGGTTAATTCGGTTCATGACGTCATAATAATTTCATTATTGAAAAACTATATTTGCGATGATTTTAAATTACGAATGATTGCATCAAATACTATTCATACACGGAATGATCAATATGAAATTTTGAACCTGATGTCACGTGACCGAAAACAAAACTAAAGCTCATTGGGGAACATATATCTAATATCGAAAAAAGCTGCACCAATTGCTCAAAACAACCCCAGAATAATAATTTCCTATTACTCTCGAGTTCCGACATATATCCTGCCTTGATTATTGTCTTATTGGGACACCCATCAACAACCCAAATGGCACTCAAGGAATGAATTATTTTTATCAGTCCATCAGGGGCGTTTTGGAAGGCAACTGAGTTAAAACGCCCTGTACTCAGAACCGAAGTAACTTCGGTCATATGTAAATAGGCACTTCTTTCTTCAAACGACCTAACGAATCGCCCTCTGAAAGTTTCGTACCGTAGTTATGAAACACAATGGTATACTGTATAGTAATGACAATAAGGAGATTAGGCATTTGGAAAACTTGTGTTTAGTATAGTCATACCTACCGGATAGTTCTCTGCAAAAAAACAATCTGGTTATTTGAATTTAGCGTTCGGAAATGGAAAAAAAATCAGAAAATAAAAAGTTGGAGGCGCCGGGCATCGATCCCGGTACCTCTCGCATGCTAAGCGAGCGCTCTACCATCTGAGCTACGCCCCCGATAGCAAGTTAAATAATATATCTACAACATGCATTGGAATACTGATTCATGGACGACAACGCAATAAACAGGGGCATCCGCAGAAATGAACTCTTGTGGGGGGGATGAGGGGGTTAAATTACAATGATATACGATATTTAGTTTGTAGAAGTAGAAGTTTTTTTCATGTTCTGGTTCCCACGAAAAGGGATATCCTGTAATGTTCAAAGAACATCGTGAGAACCAAGGGAAATAAGGTAGGAATTGGTGTTCTTCTTAAATTTCTGGAGGATATATGCCTCGGGAAACACCTCCCTTGGCAATGTGTTCCAGAGCCTCGCTGTTCGTTGGATTAACGAGTATTTGAAAAGAGATGTTCTGCAGGTCTCCAAATAAGTGACGACGAAGGGGTGCATGAGAAGCCTCAACTCGACGGGTTAATCTCGCGGGGACTGCCAAAGGAGGAACAATTATTGATAGTTCAGAAGAGCATCGTCCATGAAAATATCAATAAAATAGAGCCAGATCGCCAAATTTTCTACGGTGTTCCATAGAGGAGAGTGTGAGTTTGTGAGCGGGGCATCACCCACGAGACTAATTGCCCTTTTCATTTGGACAGAATCCAAAAGTTCCAGGGTATGTTTGGGTGCTGCACTCCAAATATGGGAAAAGTATTCCAGGACAGGTCGGATCTGTGCCTTATAGATCATAAGCAGCTGACTGGAAGTGAAATAGCTCCTGGCCCGGAACAGCTAGAAAACCAAGTTTTTTTTATGCACTTTCAGCAATTGATCTCACGTGATTTTCCCAAGAAAGGTTATTGCTGATAGTAATACCAAGCATCGAAATGGATGTCTTCAAAGGTATGGTTACTCCTGACAAGCTTATTATGTTGGGCACAGTGAGATCGGCTTTTCTAGGGAAAAGGCATGCTTGTGTTTTGTTTGCATTGAAATATACCAAGTTATTCATTTCTGATATAGACCTCGCTGGTATTGGAGCCCTGGAAGAGAAGGCGGTATGGGGGGTACTATCATTCGCGATGCTGTGTACTGGACATGAAGTTATGCTTCCAACAAATCGTTCATATGAAGTAGAAATATTGTTGCTGCTAGAATTGATCCTTGCGAAACACCAGCATTTATGATAAGAAAGTCAGATGAAACTCCGTCGACCACTACATGGAGAGACCTGCTTGAGAGAAAACTAGCTAGCAGAGAACATAGTTGGGGAGGCAAGCCATAAGATGGAGGCTTGGCGGGGAGTCCGTGGTGCCAGACTCGATCGAATACCTGGGAGATATAAAGTGCCACGGCTATGGTTTCACCATATTTTTCAATTACCTATCGTTGATAATACCTGAATGTTCCAGCTATGGGCTGGATGATCTCATGTTGGTAGCTTTTCCCATGTATTTTGAAATAATAGATATTAGTGCCATCGGTCTGTAGTTGCTAGGTAGGGTCTTTTGACCTTTTTTAGGAACTGGTTGTACTCTCGCGATTTTCCAGTTGGACGGGAATATCCCCAATTTGTGAGAGTAGTTGAACAACTTGCAGAGAACAGGTGTTAGTTCGGGAGCACATTTCTTGAGAACAATCGGTGGAATTCCGTCGGAGCCACAAGTTTTGTTGGTGTTGTGACCCAATAATAAAATCTTCCTTATAGTATGTTGGCGAATGGTGGTGATCTCGGGCATATGACTGTCAATTGGCGATATGTTTAGAGGTTGTTTTCCCGATGAATCCAGAGTGGAAATTCCAGCAAATAAATGCGCAAAAATGTTGGCTTTCTCCTGGGCAGTTGTGGCTACTGTTCCATCTTCCTTGGTTAGAGGAAAAAACAGTTTATTCAACAGTTATAACTTGATAAAAGCTTTTTAATAATTATAATCACGCGAGAGCTTTTTTGTCAAAGTATTTGATGCCTGCAAATTAAACGAAAAAAATTGCGTTCGAAAAAATAGGTTGATATAGGTCTGCACAAAATGATACCCAATAGATACCTGGTGAGACCAAAGTGGGATGATTGAAACAAAACTTACCTCCATACCAAAACGCTTAGTTTAACCGTTGGCGTTGGAATTGAATTTTTTTATGCAACACCCTCTGTCTTTTGCATTCGTGGAGAAATTTGTGCCACATAATAAATATCATTGATATGATGGATGATTTTATATGAAAATTAAGTACGAACCTACAATAATTAAAATTTTCTGGAAACTATCGCATCAAATTGGATTTGGTCAATCAACTTATTATTGATGAAAAACAAATAGAAATATCACAAACATACAGGAGGGCAGGAAGTTAGGTATTGAATGGAAAAATAGAAAGAACATTGAAATCTATTCAGTGGCGTACTCAGACAAAGTTCTATCAATTTTTTTATCAACAGTACCCCGAATATGCAACATGCAGTGTGTCAATCAAACATTAAAACGGCATACGCATACTTTTTCTACGGCTGCTAAATTAGACAGAGCTGTCAATGCTTAAAATTTGACATTTCATGGGATATGACATTTATTGTGAAATAATGACACACATTGCATTATTGTGTTATTGATTCAACGAAAACAGTCAAACAATACCAATTTTGTGTTATAGCCGTAGAAAGAAATGTTTGTCAATCAATGAGCAATATATATTGATATTCTTGCTACCCACCAATTTTCAAAATCCCATGTCGAACGATTCTGAAGTTACAGCGCTGGCCGTTTTTTGTGCACTTCTCTGTATATCCCAAACTCGAAGTAAAACACAAATATTTGTTGCAAAATTTTCAAAATATAATATGTGCATTCATGTTAACAACATTAAAACTGATGAAGAGGTCGACAGTTATGTATAATCTAACAAAATATTAAAATTTAAAAACACTCAAATAATTTGAGAACTGATGAAGTCCAGTTCATCATCAGTACTCGTCTCCTTCATCTGCTTCAGCTTCAATAGAATCCACAGCCACCTCTTCGTAATCCTTCTCCAACGCCGCCAAATCTTCCCTGGCTTCAGAGAATTCCCCTTCCTCCATGCCCTCACCGACGTACCAATGCACGAACGCTCTTTTAGCGTACATCAGGTCGAACTTATGGTCCAGTCTGGCCCAAGCTTCGGCAATAGCTGTGGTGTTGGCCAACATGCAGACCGCCCTCTGGACTTTGGCCAAGTCTCCTCCTGGCACCACTGTGGGCGGTTGGTAGTTGATGCCCACTTTGAAGCCTGTGGGACACCAATCGACGAACTGGATGGTGCGTTTGGTTTTGATTGTTGCGATGGCTGCGTTGACGTCTTTGGGGACCACATCTCCTCTGGAAATGATGATAATGGAACTTTAACGCAGTGCATCGGATAGCATACCCAGAGATGTTTGTGCTTTAGACAATCTACCATAATCTCAGTGTTCAAGATGTTTTTCGAACCTAGCTCCGATTGCATGGTCTCCTAATATGGTTTGATCTATACGTCATCCATTTGATTCTTTTTACAGTTTTAGAACTGTGATGACCCAATAGATTCCTATTGGGGCTAAAGTGAACCGTTTCTTAGTCAATTTATTATATCAAAGCGAAGTTAAAAAAACCAACGATACTTGTCAAATTGCAATTGCACTTTGATAGGTTATAAGTAACTGGTTGATATTTTTCCAGAAAGTGTATAGCCTTCGGGAAATAAACCAATCGCGTGACCAAATGAATCAGTTTATTCTCGTGCTATATAATGCACCTACTATATCATATGGTCAGGTGTTCTATCTCATTCGTCATAAACCAATTCGTTATTAGCAATTTCAGATTCACCACGATGTATCTTGAACTTGGGCCACTGATGCTCTGAGATATTTTGAGAAATAATTCACACCACAAATACATCTGCTTCATCTACAGCTTGAAACACGTAAGGACTTGGTTCATTACAGTACAGAAAAATATGAGCTTTCAATAATATCATAGAGGGTCTATTCTCAATACAATATTATGGACTTGATTCACATCAATCTTGAATCCTTCATGTCTTACTTACCTGTGGTAGGCAGTCAGAGAAGGTAGTAGGTATTCGATTATTCAAAACTTTTCGAGGATTTGGGTTCTTGGGAATATTTCCCATCAAGAACTATTTGAATTTGAACCCATATATACCGAGTGTACAGTCCTTGTTTCTATTTGAGTCTTAGAGATAAGTGATTGAAATCTGAAATGACCCATCAACTTGATGAATATCATGTTTTGACATAAATATGTTTCATTTTCTGGTTTTGTGGTTATAACTTTTGATTTTCAAGTAGAACACCCTGTATATCATTGCCTTTTCGAATCCTGTATCATTGACTTTTCGAATCCTGCATCATTGTCTAAATCAAATGATTCCACATAAGTGACATTTCAAACGTCAATATTGATTTCAATTTCATTATTATTCGATTATCCATCTGAGTGTGCAATGAATATTTTGATCGAGTCTGATGTACTCATATCGACAGGTGTAATGCCAAAGAAAAGTCAAAAATGCAAAATTTCTTGATTTATCAGCAATTAAGTTCATTAAAATGTTTTGGTGTAGGTATCATGATCCAGTTACACCCGGTATAAACTAAATAATGAACCTTTTCTAAAACCTAAATCGGATTCAGTCACTGAAGTTCATAGCTTCATTTGATCAATTATATGTTTTTTCAAAGAGTTAGGGCTAATGACTTTAGAGTTAACTCTGGTTGAAGGCCTGCTATTAAACTCAACTGTAGTTCTTGAACCGAACATTATCCTGATCATTCATGAGTATAGTTACCTGAAGAGCATGCAGCATGCCATATACTTTCCATGCCTGGGATCGCACTTGACCAACTGATTGGCAGGCTCGAAACAGGCATTCGTGATCTCTGATACCGTTAGTTGTTCGTGGTAAGCCTTTTCAGCTGAAATGACAGGAGCGTAAGTAGCCAGTGGAAAGTGAATCCTCGGATAAGGGACCAAGTTAGTTTGAAACTCGGTGAGGTCCACGTTCAAGGCACCGTCGAACCTGAGGGAAGCTGTGATGGAAGACACAATCTGCAAAGAATATCTATCCGATTACCAAGTAGTTCAAATAAGAAGACTAATCTGAATTCTACTGGATTTCGAACCACGGAATACATTTTTGTAAGATGAAAATATCTAAGTTAATCACAATTTTTTGATATGTTGAATCAACCACTTTTCTCATCCTTGATGTATTTCTTGCATTACATTGTCGTGAAGACTATTTTAAGTAATATTCAGTTATTGAACAATAAAAACCTGTCGTATACATTGCTGATATATTTCTGGAAAATGAATATAGAATCGCTCTTCAATAATCTCATAGCAATCTATATTCATAACTTACCTGACCAATGAGTCTATTCAAATTGGTGTAGGTAGGTCTTTCGATATCTAGATTCCTTCTGCAAATATCGTAAATTGCTTCATTATCGACCATGAAAGCACAGTCAGAATGTTCCAGAGTAGTATGCGTGGTGAGAATAGAGTTGTAGGGTTCAACTACAGCTGTGGATATCTGAAATCAAGAGATGATTGTATATCAGATACAAAATATAATGAAATACGTTGTTCATTCATTCAGTTATTGTTTGATTCATATCTATCCTATATAAGTTCCTATTCACATAGGTTCTCATTTTGATTCGATTAGCTATTACGAAATCACCTATATCCTACAGTCATCGGCAAAAACACCGGCTTCCAAAAAATGTTGCCAAGTTTGTCGGCTTGAAACGTTTTGAATTCTTGTCCGATTTCGGTGAAATTTCAACCAAATCGTATATTTATGTTTCAGAATGTTAGTCAAAATGTTAGTTCCAAAGAAAAGCTGGTGGCTTGATCATTATACAGGGAAAAACGAAATTTACTCTTTCACTCTTGACTTCTTAACGCCTTGTAGCAAAGATGAGTAGTTGAACTTAGCTTCATTGTGTTTGGGATTGGAGTGTGATGCCTTCTTAACACTATGATTTTTGATTCATGTCTATAGCCACTTCTCAAGAGATAATACGAGTGTTTTAAGGAGGTACTTTTGTCATTTCTAATAATGATATTACCGCAATCACATACCTCAACCGTTATCGTTGTTGATTCAATATTTTCATATTCGTAAACTTGTGAATTTATAAATTATCTTTGAGAAACATGGTATAACTGCACACACAGACAAATACTCCGACATCTACCGTGCGCTATATTAGTATATAGTGACATAATAATCTGCTAGAAGAGTGAATAAATTAATAAATGAAATAAACGAATAAGTAGGTGTTTCTATAGAGAAAGAACTTTTTTCTATTCTTCATCATGAAATTAGAACAATCTTGGTTATAATTCTGGTAGAAGACCATATTTGCTCAAAGTGAAGTGGAATTTTGCAAAGGAAACCTCAAAAGCCTTCTTCACACTTTTAATTTACATCATTAAATGTGTGGAGATGACTGTAACACTTTCTTCTACCCTTTGGAATGTTGATTATAGTCACTGAATACAAATGAACAGTTTTCGTTTAATGCTTCAGATGCTCACCTGTGGGGCGGGATATATTGAAAATTCCAATTTCGATTTCTTGCCGTAGTCCACACTAAGTCTTTCCATCAACAAACTCGTGAATCCAGATCCAGTTCCGCCACCAAACGAGTGGAAGACCAAAAATCCCTGCAATGTTGAAAAATATTTTTTTCTATCGCATTTCTATATACTATTATTTAGTAGTAGTGCGCTCAGAAAGAATTCCTTCAAAGTCGGACTTATCCAAGAAACTGCCTTTTGCCTTCCTAAAGTTGACAGAATTTGGATATGAAACAAATGGGATCATAATAGAATGCCATGAGGGTCTTCAACACGCGTCTACCGAAGCCGTGTCATGGGTAAAGTTGTTCTTGAAATGCAAAGCCAGCCGCAGGACGCTCAAGACACTCATGCACCTGCTATATTCTTGCACAGTGTATGCAGTCTCAAGGTATAATGAATACAACAGTGCTTCATTATCATTTGCTTCACTCTCACGAAAAAAACAAGAGGCCCCAGTACATTGTGATCGAAGGGCCGAATTCATTAGTCATTCTCATTCCCCATACACCCTCAGGTGAGTACAAGCTATGACTAGCCTATGATGTGCCCCAGAAAAGCCGAACATCGTTCCGAAAGAAGAGAAGAGACGGACTGGATATCAAGATTTCCTCTTCGAACTGAGGTTCTATCCAGACTGAATACTGAATTGCCAGAAAAATGCCTGCCTCCGTAATAAGGCACACATTTCAGCTCGTAGAATGCAGAAGGTCATCATTTTCGAATCATTATCGTAATGATAATAATAAAGTTTATTTTCCATTTTATAGTTACAGAAATTGTATGTAACTAAAGATTACTCTTAGCAGCAATATTACCATTGGTATGGGCCTATGATGTGCCCCAGAAAAACCGAACATCGTTCCGAAAGAAGAGAAGAGACGGACTGGATATCAAGATTTCCTCTTCGAACTGCGGTTCTATCCAGACTGAATACTGAATTGCTAGAGAAATGCCTGCTTCCGTGATATAAGGCACGCATTTCAGCTCGTAGAATGCAGAAGGCCATTATTTTCGAATCATTATCGTAATGATAATACTGAAGTTTATTTTGAATTTTATAGTTACAGAAATTGTATGTAACTAAAGATTACTCTTAGCAGCAATATTACCATTGGTATGGGAATGTTCTACGGACTTTATTATTTTTCTTGCAACATCTTCTCTGTCCTCACCTTGAGGTACTGTTGAATGGAATTGACAAAACATGTGACAGAGAAAAACGAATGAGCTCATTGGAAGTAAGAACAACACAAACATATTTTGTATTGTGTGCAAATTGTATATGTTTGGTGTGACAAAAACGCTTATGCATTTTTTGGACAAATGAATTGAAAATCAAGAAATATTTATTTTTGTATTTGGTGCGCGAAATGCTACGTTGGTGATCGGGAACTGATAGTCGACTCGACCGAAGTATTTCGGCCACGAGTTGTGAACAAAATTTTTTCTACAAACGTCAAAAAACATATTCCTAACGTAGTAATATTCTTAGCTAAATACAAAAGATAGTGTTGAACTGGCGCAAAAAGCCTCAATTATTGCACTGCTTCGCACATGGTGTCGTGGTTACGTAGGAAACTGGAATAAAGTGCCACTTCACAACTTGTTATCAATGCGCGAACCTTGTAGATTTTCGACGTTTGTAGACAAAAGTAATAAAAAATCAGCTATCTTCACCTGTAAACCTGTACATTGGTCGGACAGTTTTCGTATCCTGTCCAGAACGACATCGACGATCTCTTTGCCGATGGTGTAGTGGCCGCGGGCATAGTTGTTGGCGGCGTCTTCTTTTCCGGTGATGAGCTGCTCAGGATGGAAAAGTTGGCGGTAGGTGCCGGTCCGGACCTCATCTGAAAATCAGTACAGTAAAATCATTAGATATTCCTGTATGGGGCATATCCTAGCTCCTAAAAGGAGCGGAGCGCAGTTCGTAATTTGAAGTGAAGGCAGAGCCAAGTCTTTGTCTTTAATAATTCCTCCACCGTGTCGACCTGAATTTGTTAACAGTTTCCAACGTATGATGAACTCTACTTTGACTAACTGGATTCATCTCAGATATTTCTCAATGAAGCAGCCGTTGCTCGAGGAAATAAAGTGTATGACTAGATGCTATATAAAAGATATTCACCCTACCGGACAATACCATCCTTACCATATGGACACACAGGGCCCGTACCCAGGGCCTCCTATCGTCAGGAGGCCCCGAAGAACCAACAAATTCCTCTCAAATAAATATTTTGCCGAGCACAGTACAACTGCGCCACCGTCAAAGTTTTTGTGATATCATTATTGACATATTATATTGTTTATTTGATTACCCATAATGAATAAAAGATCATAATAGGAAAATGTTAGTGTTATTCGCTATCTTAACTTTTCAAAAGGGCCCTTTTGAGACGGCATTGCTTTACCGGACTAACACCATCCGGCTCCAGACTGCATGATGGAGTTCATTTTTGACAAAATGCTATATACCATATACCACTCACTGAACTGAACCAAACTTAACTTAAATCCACCTAAAATCCACCTAGAATAGAGATAAGGTTGATAGAGAACCGTTCATTTCATCTAAGGCACAAATGTCGAAAGTACACTCTTACCAGATACATAAGGTTTTAACTATTCTATATGGTTTGAAGGAGATCGAATATGATGATTATAGAGGAATTGAAATGAAAAACTGGGAAATGAGATTTGAAATCAGGCACTTTTTAGCTTGTATATATTTCTGCCAGCGTGATCATTCTTGATTTTAAGAAAGAATACTGATCGAATATAAGAATATTTATAATAAGAATAGAAATATTGAGAATCAGATAGAGGCACAGTGGAGATCAGTTTGTTATTATTTAACAATGATGGTTTTGTAGTGGAAAGAGACACTAATCAGAAAGGTTTCAAAATTGTTACGGTATAGGTATATACTTACCTTCATCAAACAATCCATATATTATCATATATCTAGTAATAGAGCAAGATCCCATGAACGCTTTATTCTGAATAATATTATAACCATGTCATCCATTGCCAGATACGTTACCATGTTGCCAGATGATGTTTCCTCAGTAGCCAGACCATTCTGGTGGTGTTAACACCTTGTCAGACATACATACTTATATATCTTACTATATAAGTAGAAATAGAATAATCGGTTAAATTCAACGATTATCGAAGTAATAAGGCAGGTCAAACCTGAAAGTTCTGTATTATTCATATACACTAATATGCAACAATAGTTCCAAGATATGAAAAATTGTACCTATAACCTATATCACCTATTATCAACTATACATTTTTGTCTGATTTCAGAGTTCAAAGGTTCTCGTTCTTCAATCCATATTTTCTTCAACAAAGTCATGATTTCTTTCTGTCAAATATGTAGAATTTCTTCGTTCCCTTTGGATTCATATTAATTTTCATGATTTCAACTAAGCCTGATGAATCAATTTGGGAATATTTTTCATGAATCTGTTGAGTTGAGAGAAGTAAAAGGGGGTATAGATGAAATGAAACAGGATGCTTTCGCTAAACCCATGGAAGTTGAAAAGTATGTCAGAACATTATTTTTTCTGCATGTTTATAGGTTGTAGATATTCTAACATGTGAAATATTCCGTGTTCATTCACGAAAAACGCTAAATTGGGATAAACTATGCTCGAACTCTGTACTTACCAACTATATACATACTTTTGCAGTCACTCACGCGATTTGTTGAACATCCAAATATTTGGCATATAATTATTATTGTCTTCATACTGAGTTCCAAAGCATAATCACACGATAATGTTCATGACATCAAATCATTTTTTTCTGATGGAAAAACATAATCAGCGGTTACATCAGGTGTAGTTACCTACTTTTCGTGAGAAAAAAATACGAGGCAAAATATATAATGTATTTCTAGATAAGTGAAGATTATACCTTGTCATACCTAATATCTTCACAGATGAACTCTTCAAATTTACTCTCTAATGTGATTTTCTCAATCTTTTGGAGCGCTTGAAGGAAATCTGTATTATGTTAAAGGAACATCATACGTACTTAGAAAGGATATGGAGAGAATAAGGTTGATATTTAAATTTGGATGTTATGAATTCTTAGGAATACTTCTGAATAACATTTCCCGTGGAAGTATCTATGAAAATGTGAAAGGTTGTCGACTTTTCAACGGTGTTCCAATGATGTCAAAGAGTTAGTGAATGTGGCATCACCTACCAAGCGAATGGCTCTGCTCTGGATGGAATCTAAGAGCATCAGCGCATATTTGGGTGCTCAACCCCATTTATGTGGGAGCAGTATTCTCAAGCGGGTATTGAGGTGTATGATAATTTTTTGTTTGGAATGAAAATCCGAGGCTTTGTGAAGCCCCTGAATACTAACAAGTACAGAGTGCTTCACAAATTCTTCGGACAATATTATCAACCTCGAAATGACAATTTGACATGTGAAGGAAGTTATTAAATCTAGTGAAGTAGAAAAGAAGAATAGAAGAAGATGCTGGATGATGCAAGATGAAATAATAATTTTTTTGTCATCTCTTATTGGAGCAGACGGAAGGAAATTCCTATAATGTTCGAAGAACATCGTGCTTATCAAGGGAGGATAGGTATTTACATCAGTGTTTCCATAGATCTCGAGTGTGATTAGATACGAGCCCTGTCTCAGTGAAGTTGGCCCAAAACCCCAAATTGAACGTTGAATGTATTTTCCAACGAGATGGTGCCGCATGTCATAGGTGGAGGCTCAAACAGTAGAATATTGGTTGTTGGAAAACTACATTTAGTCCAGGTCTATCGTCGATTGAAACCTTGTGGCATATCATGAAAAAGAGCGCCGGTCGAATCCCGCAAGAACCGTTCCGCAGAATTGCGAACACGTACGTCTCCATGAAATTTTCAAACAGTTTTACACCATATGACATTAGTTGACACATAGATTAACGATTGCTGATTGATTTGCTGTCTATTTGGTTATTTGATCATTATGTAATGATATTTCCCTTAGAGGGGCTTTAGAAACATCATCAGTAAGACAGGAGTACAACGCTCATCCTGTAACACGCATCCCAGATCGTTCTCCTACCTCCCAATGATTCCTACATGCACTAGCATATTCCCGAACACTCAATATATGCCGCAGTGACAGATAACGTCACAGAAGATTCTGGAATGTTCTGGAAACAATCGATGAAACAATTAGAGAGAGAGGTTTGTTCTAAGAAGCTTCTAGAACAAAAAGAAGGAGACGGAAGATCATTCGAGGAGGTTCTCGAACCAAAGCCTGCCAAGTGATCTCATATATAAACGGCCGAATAACTGCCGTCAGTCAGTCTAGCAGCTAGTGTCACAGAGACAGTTATATACCGTGTGATATGAATCGTTTTACATAAATAGTAGTTGTAAGTTCTATATAAATTAGTGTTTCTTTAGTTCAAATGAATCCGTTCGAAAATAAATAGTGTCGTGTTCGCTTCTGTACCCGAATAACGTAACAATTATATTAATCGGCAGTTTTTTCGAATTTGTAATATAATTTTTCTCTGTTACAAAATAAAGTAGTATTATAGGCTGATATTGAATAAGAATATCGTGTTATCAGAAATACATTTTAGTTTTCATACTGTTCCGCTGATGACAAATTTCATACGTAATTTTGCTAATTGAGCCAACTTCACTGAGTTTGAGTGTATCAGTGTTTTTCTAACAAGAACCAATTATTATTTTTCTTTGATATTATATGTAAATATCCAATGAATATAGGTACCACATGTCTTTATTGCTCCCAGTCAAATTTCATTCCACATCGATGATCATTATGAAACAATATACTGCCTGGCTTATATCTAGAAGAATTAGTAAAAAATTTATTATTTTTGAGAGCGCAGTAGGAAATTACGATTTATAAGTAATTCTTCGATGTCACTACAGAAAGGATATCTATGTGAAAAGCAAGTTGATACTTCCCCTAGGAATAGGTGTGGTGTTGACGAAAAAACCTCACCCACATACACACCCCACACATCAGGAAAGTGAATGACAGAGTTGATTTCCTGCAGGCGGATTTATGCAATTTTGTTCCGCATACTTATGCATAAGGGAGATGAGTCAGCATATTTCTGTGATTTGTGATATGTACCAGCGCCATCAGAATACTATAATTAATATTGTTTTCGCCATGTTCATTAACAACTATTCTAGAAGTATAATTGCAAATAGCAAATTAGCAAATGACTGTTTTTCCAGTGAAATTGGTACTACTACAGTGTAATTTACTCGATAATTCTCAATTAATGAGCCAGATTGATAATATTACCCCCTATACGAATAGTGGATAGAGGGAGTCAAGCAAATTGATGTACTGTGTACTGTGTGTGTCTCATATAAAATCGTCTACTCCTTGATGATCACGAAAATCATATAGCATAAAGCATATAGGGTGTGATCTAAATTTTTCATTATACACTATATATACACCAAGGTAGTAAAGAATATCATTATCAAAGATTATATCCCGAGGCATCAGCCGAGGCTATAATTTGTCGAGGGATTCAAAAACACTACAGTCCTGAGGTGTTCATACTATTTCATGCATTTTAGGATAGGTTAAACGTTGAAAATACCGAAAAAAAATTAAATGCCACAATACACGGTAGGTACTCTATTTCTAAAACGTCATCGAAGGGGCTGATTGTTACCATATCAACGACCTCAGTAACTATGGAACTATGGTGATCTAGATTTCGAGAAAAAAGTGGTGCTTTAAATCCCTAGGGATTAAAAGTACCACTTTTTCACATGATGAAAATAGGGATTTGAGGTAGAGTTCGTAAAGTATCTAATAGGATTGAAAATTCTCAATAATTGAACACGAAAAATTCTTTCTTTTTAGGGAACTAGAGTAAAAACAAACTTTTATACCAATATAGGTACCTATTTATTATGAGCAAGAGGCGAAATAAGCTAGACGGCTGTGAGGTTGCAATTTTCAAATCGTTTTTGCTTCATGACTTTGAAACGGAATATATCCCATGGACATAGAACTTAATTTTTTCAGTAAATAAACATCTTAAACTTCTACGCCAATGGAAGTAGAGGCGTATGAATATGAAATTTGGACTGCGTATCTTGTTCACTAGAAAAAAGGTAGTTTTGATAAAATTGGATTACTCTCATGGTTCTGACAACATTGTGTTTTAACAGATATATCATGACAATTGTTCAAAATGTACACCAATTTCACGTAAACGAAGATTTATACTATACGAGAAAAATGGATACCGGCAAACTCATCACCTTAGTACAAAGTTGCTCAGTATCTGGGCGCTAGAACGGCTCTGTCTCAGCTCAGTACAAAAAAAACAAAATATAGCACATTTCGATTTTTTCGTCGTAAAGATCTTTGTTTACGTAGAAATGGTGTACATTTTGAACATGAAAATTTTCGATTAAATGAAATTCAAACTTTGTAGGAATCATGAGTATCTAGAAGTGCCTTTAGGGGAACTGAATCCATCTCATATTCAAACTACTTTCTTTTCATTGCCCAATGAAGCTATATGTAAACGTACCAAAATTAAGCGAAATCTCATAAAGCGTTTCAATGTTATGAATCATAGAGAATTGTACCTTCAGAGCGCTCTATAGCACCTAAGCTACGCAACTTTTGTACTGAGGTCGGTTTGCTCGAATCGAATTGTTTTGGTCAGAGGAATATGTAGTGTCGTTTTTTGTACAGCCCTTTGGAACACGCAGAATGATTAAAAGCATCATGAAAAAAACACGGTCTACTAGCCCTTATTCCGTTACTCACCTACGACCGTCGGCTCGAGATCGACGAAGACCGCCCGGGGCACGTGCTTGCCCGCCCCCGTCTCGCTGAAGAAGGTGTTGAAGCTGTCGTCGCCGCCGCCCACGGTCTTGTCGGAGGGCATCTGCCCATCGGGCTGAATGCCGTGCTCGAGGCAGTACAGCTCCCAGCAGGCGTTGCCGATCTGGACGCCGGCCTGGCCAATATGCACGGAGATGCATTCCCTCTGCAACAGAAATTAATTCAGTTAATAGAAAATAATATGCCGAGTTGGAGGCAGAATAGCTCCCAGCAGGCGTTGCTGATCTGGACGCCGGCTTGGGTGATGTGAACCGAGATGCATATCATCTACAACGAGAATTAGTAATCCAGTTAATAGATATGCCATGCTCGAGGCAGTAGAGCTCCCAAGAGGCGTTACCGATCTGGACGCCGGCCTGGCCAATGTGCAAGGAGATATATTCCCTCTGCAACAGAAATATTAATTCAGTTAATGGAAAATAAAATGTTGTGATGGAGGTAGACCAGCTCCCAGCAGGCGTTGCCAATCTGGACTCCGGCTTGGCCGATGTGAGCTGAGATGCATTTCCTTTACAATGAGAATGATTAATCAAGTTAATAGATCTGCCGTGCTCAAGGTAGTAGAGCTCCCAGCAGGCGTTGCCGATCTGGACTCCGGACTTGGCCGATGTGAACCGAGATGCATTTCCTCTACAACGAGAATTATTGATCCAGTTAAGAGATATGCCGTGCTCGAGGCAATAGAGCTGCCAGCAGGCGTTGCCGATCTGGACGCCGGCCTGGTCGATGTGCACGGAGATGCATTCCCTCTGTAACAGGAATTGATCCAGTTAATGGAAAATAATATGCTGTGCTGGAGGCAGTACAACACCCAGCAGGCGTTGCCGATCTGGACTCCGGCTTGGCTGATGTGAACCGAGATGCATTTCCTCTAAAGCGAGAATTATTAATCCAGTTAAGAGATACGCCGCGTGCTCCAGCTAATGAATAATAATATGCTGTGCTGGAGACAGTACAGCTCCCGGCAGGCGTGGCCGATCTGGACGCCGGCCTGGCCAATGTGCACGGAGATGCATTCCCTCTGCAACAGGGATTAATCCAGTTAATAGAAAATAATATGCCGTGCTGAAGGTAGAACAGCTTCACTTTCTTGAATTTCTTCTTCTCTTCCTCTATCGTTTCATTATCTCAGATAATGCCACATCATCCACTGAGGCTAAACTCAACTAGTTCGCGAAATTCAGATCCTGTCAACTCGTTTACTGAGAAGTATTTTTGTCCGAATCGACATCTGTCGCCTGATGTCCTATATGTAGGACGGTACAATGAACCCGAGATATGAAAAAAAAAGATCATGAATGCTTGAAACAATGATACGGCATATGAAACATATGTTATTATCTGATCATTGAGCCATCTTGGATTCGAACATAAAAATAAGAATGGAATAATAACTAACCGAGCAAAAGGTACACCGTTTTCTGAAATAACATCATTTCAAACCTGTCGTTGAGGACAAATGAAGTAAGTCTGGGAATATGTTTGACATGTCCATAATTATTTCATGTGAAATGAATGAAATATCTGGGTTAAACATGCTAACTTCAAAAATTTCTTATAATTTTTTAAGTGCCTCTGATTGCATAGAACCTTTCCCCATGAAGAAGAGGAAAATGCTTCGACTCTATTTTGAGGATCAAGAATAAGAGCTATACAGTTAGAATATCCAATTAGTTTTGTTATATTGTTTGGATATTTTGTCTCTGGCAATGATTTACTGTATCATTGCATATTGCATTACTTCTTGAGTCAAGACAAGATATAATGATATAATATGTCGAGAAAACGTCAAGACAAGATTTTTTTAATTTTCTTTACCCTGTCGATTCAGTGGCGTTCTACTCATCCCCCTAAAAGTTATATACAACCCCTGTGTCGGCACCTATGTATTTCCTCAACTACTTTTGACTCATACTGTGGACGTGAGTTCACATAGGTAGAGAAGGTACTGAATTCAAAATGGATTTCTATTGTGTTGCCTCTTTATATTTGAGTTATCGTGCATCAAGTAGGTACAGCCCTGTTATCTTGCGACGTTCACCTCTGAGAATTATATAATGTACACAAATCCGGACCACTCAGTACAAAAGCCTTTATATAGCTATACAGGGTGTAAATTTGAAAACTTTCAATGCGAATATCTCGCGAAATAAGAAAGTAAGAAAAACGCCGCTTGGCACAAATGCTGAAGTGTTAGGAAGAACTAGAACCACTATATTTCAGTGAAGGGATGAGTCACCCTGTCAGCGCGACACACCCCAACTCTGAAATGTCAAATGGCACTACCTCTTTTGTGATACCTCAAATGAACGGTCTCAGTCAGTAGTATTCACCTGTACAAGACTTTTTTCCACCCACTACAGGGTGTACGAAAAACATAGTCGAGGGTCTAAATTTGAAAACTTCCAATGCGAATATCTCGCTAAATAAAGAAGTTAGGAGAACGCCGTTTGGCACAAATGCTACAGAGTTAGGGGGAAATAGAACCACCATACTTCAGTAAAGGGATGAGTCACCCCGTCAGCGCAACACACTCCATATTTGAAATGTCAAATGGCACTACCTCTTTCGTGATACCTCAAATGAACGGTCTCAGTCAGTAGTATTCACCTGTACAAGACTTATTTTCCACCCACTACAAAGTGAACGGAAAACATGAAGTCGAATAAAATAAAATGCAGAATGCCGATATATTCCAAGAGATGTGTTCCAAAATGTTAAAATGGCATTCGAACATCGATTATACTATTGCTTACAACAGAATGGAATGCATTTTGAACATCTGATCAAATAAAATATCATTTTAACGCAATTCATTTTATTTTATTCGACTTTATATTTTTCGTACCCCCTCTGTAGTGGGTGAAAAAAAAGTCTTGTACAGGTGGATACTACTGACTGAGACTGTTTATTTGAGGCATCAGAAAGAGGTAGTGCCATTTGACATTTCAAAGTTGGGGTGTGTCGCGTCGACGGGGTGACTCATCCCTCGACCGAAATATGGTGGTTCTCCTTAACTCTTCAGCATTTGTGCCAAACGGCGTTTTTCTAACTTTTTTCTTTCGCGAGATATTCGCATTGGAAGTTTTCAAATTTACACCCTGTATAGTATTGAGTATTTTCATTCCCTATTGGCGAATTGTTAATAATTATTTATACATCAAGGTATAGTGAAGAGTATCATTATTTCCCAGGGACAATATTATACTGAAAATTTATATCACACATTACTTCGGGTATGTTTGTTATAGTTTAATTAATGATGGTTTGATAGTTCAATCAATTTAATTAATATATGGACTATGAAAGTCGTTATTGATAAATACATACTAGATTCGAGTGTCATTCCTATGAATCTCGCATCACAACACTGAATTCTAGTTAATCATAACAAAGATGGATTGGTAGTTCATAAAATGACGAAGACTACCTTGATAGTGAAACACATACTTTACGCCTTGAAATGGGCTAAATAATGGTAGGTTATATAGTGGTGGAAAAATAATGTTCTCTCTAGCTCCACAAATCAGTTCAACTACAACCCTGAACTGACGGACTGCTTCTCTGTAGAATAGTAAGTCGAATTAATTCCGTGTATAAAATATGTATATTTTCCTTAATAGGTAATCTAGAGGTCAAAAACCTCCCTTATTCGTGAGCTTGTATAAAGGAGAGAGGGTTATGAAAATGCTTTCATGGATTTCATAAAAAAAATTGATTGGTTTGACGGTGGTTGAGGAATGCCTGGTACGAATAAGGCACAAAAAGCATTATGTAGACCGAGGTACCAATAAGAACGTGGATGAATTGATGCAACTCTTTATAGGTCACGTCAGAATTGTACTTAATAAATCATCATAGGAATGGAAGGATAAAATGTCTATTATAATTTTTGTATGAATATAACCAATATTAGTCTATTATACTGTCCTTATTAGATTGAAGAAGAAAGAAATGATGAAATCATTTGATTAGGATTCCTCGAAAAATTCATTGATAGTAAGGTAAATACAGTTCTTTCCGAAAAATACTTCGATATCGAATTAAAATTGTCAGAGCTGAAACAAAATGTTCTGTTTCATACTTACAATGAGGTCGTATTGATGAGACTACACTCATTTTTCAAATGAAACACCCTAAATGCTGTACCTAGTCTTCCCGACCCTCCCGGATTGCCCGGAAGATTCCGGCAATAATGGTGAGCCTCCAGACCTTCCGGGAGGCAATAACTCTTCCGGTTTTTTCAAATTATACGCGTTCGTCGCAATGCGAATATTATTTCTATAAGAACAAATGAACTAAACTTAGGCTGCGTCAAGTCTATGGTTTGACCGAGCACATACGTTCAGTATGAAGTCTGACCACCAGTCTGACCAACCAGAGGTTTGGGAATGTCGGTCACGTTTCAAATCTGGACGAACGAATGACTGGATACAGTCTTACTACTACTACAAATATTCACTCAGATGGTGACAAACTGTACGATAATGTTGGACTTTCGCGTGGTTGAAGAAAATCGAGTAGATTTACGCTGGGTTGACGTCGTTATGAATCTTTCTTAACTATCACTTAAAAAGTCTTCGCGCAACAAGCATTTGTTACTTATTCCTAAACATACCAAGTCACTTTTCACCCGAAGCTTTCCTCATAATGTTGCCAAGCTCTACAATACCATCCCTGTTGAATTCAAGGAATTCACTCTGAATAATTTGAAATTGTTTTTCTCTGATGAGCAGAAGTAGCATTTTTATGAAAGCGTGATTTTTGATCTGGTTGTTACTAACTATCTTCTTCAGTGCATTGAACTGTATAAACTGTTCAGTTATACTTCCATCCTTCAAGCATGCTCAAAATGGCTTCAAAAGATTTCGAAAATAATGCAGAATCTTTCATAGAATTTTATGATTTGGGTGAAGTCTCTGCAGAATTAGATTTGTGGTACGATATGTGGAAGAAAAAAAAATTAGCAGACGACAAATTAAAGGACATTGAAGTGGCTGCACTTTTGGAGGAAGCTAATGTTTAATCCCTGCAACGAGGCATGTCCAGTACTGCTACCGTAGAAAGATCGTTCAGTACTCTACGAAGGGTAAAAACCTGGCTCAGGAGTACAATGGGTGATGACAGACTCACTGGGTTGTGTTT